GCGGTCAATATCGATTTCAGCCAATCAAATTCGTGAATTCGGTAGTTCCCAGTCTTTGTGAGACACAGCCATATAATAACGTCGAATATACAACGGCTTTCCTTTATTCTGATTGGCTGTATTTTCTATGGCATGGTATAAAAATGTTTCATTTAGTTGGACACTGCTCTCTTAAAAGATTATACAGGTGTTGGATGCTATAGAGACACTACAGATCGTGCAATTCCAACACTTGAAGACACAGACTCAGTCTTGGATGGCGGGGTATTCTTTTACCGCAGCCGTCAGAACGCAATTGTCAAGTGCGCTGTCGCAGCTCGCAGAAGGGGTTTCCCTGCCTTTGCACTTCAGGATGGCGGCTGGTGTGCAGCGAGCGCTAATGTACTGGAGACGTTTAACAAATATGGCAAGAGTAGCGACTGCAATAATAAAGGCACAGGAGGTCCTTTTGCAAACAATGTTTACGTCTTTCAAGATGAAATTAACAGTAAGTGTTTTTCTCAGGAGTACAAAGAATGTAAAACATAACGACCTCAATAGAGTCAACGTTGAAATGGTTATGTTTAATGTTTATAATTCCAGGATCAAGTTGAAACAAAAACAGTTATACGAAGCTAGCAATTGGTTCTTGTTCGACAACTGGGAAGAGGCGCACCAAGAAACAAGGACAGAACTCAAAGTCAAATCAGTTGAATGAAGGTTTTGACAAAATACTCCCCACTCAGCTTTTTAATCGGACACGTTATTACTGGAGGATTATTAATAGCTGAATTTGATAGCTTTAAAATGATATAACTACGTTCAGCCAACGACATCTTCATCACTGCGTTTAATAATCCCCCAAAATGACCGGGAGAATTTAAATAATGTCAGTAACGTTTTGCATAAGCCATCATCCAATATAATTCTTTTTTGCCTCGAGTGTTTGATACCTCTTCTCAAACAAACTGAGTAGGGAAAAACGGAGCAGTAAAATCCAAAATCTATATTAAATAAGTTCAGGTAGCAAAACACCGTTACTGTCATTATTTCCTTTTTTAAAACTTGATCAGTAATTTGATGAGTTTGAGAATCTTCTTTTTTGTTCAACCTTGCAGCCGTCAGAGTTTCAGATCCAATCGCCTTTTATCCCTTGAACACCAAGTACACAACACGGGAAATAAAAAATCGACAAGCCCAGGGTAACCCTGTTGGTGTTAGCATGGCGCCAGGGCCTGATGGCAAGGCCGGTGGCTCGTACCAATTCACGGGACAAAGCAACAGTTACATCGAGTTCCCAAACAATGGAGGGTTAGATGCTCAACACTCCATCACCATGTTATGTTGGGTGTATCCTGAGAATACAGACGGACCAATTTTCAATTATAAGATAACTGGTGGGCCTTGGGCTGTTCATTTCTGGATGCATTCTGGAAAGCTGTACGGTGTAATAAGTCAACGAAATTACCTTATGATTCCAGGGTTACGCACGTTTCACGTTCTGGCGTTAAACCAGTGGCATTATGTTGGTTTTACCTATAGTCACATTACTGGTATGGCAAATTTATGGCTGGATGACCAACGAGTGGTGCACAGGAATATTGGAGCCGGCCTGTCTCTTTCAACTCAAGATAACGTTAGAATGGGCGCATTAGAAAATGATGGCCGGTATTTTAAGGGACGAATTACAGCCATGCAGATTTATGACGTTGCTTTGACCGAGGAGCAAATAAACGCAGTGGAAAACGCTGGTCAAGGTAATCATAATGATACTTTGACATGTCGCGCGAATTTGACTTTGTATGGTCGAGGCTAAAGTTAATCAGTCACTCAGCGATCATTACAAATTATTTCTGGAAGGGAGAATTGTTGGACAGGAGTATTTACAGACCTCACCTTCCCCCTCAGCTGTTGCCTGTTCAATAATTGCTTGGTTAACTTTACTTACATTCACATGCAAGAGATATTTAATAGAGACATCTCATCTCATTTGGCACTTCTTTACTGGTTCATACACACTTTCATTGCAATCGAGAGCAATGGTCTTACTTTATCTCAGAGGTCTAAAATTAGGTAGGTCAAGATAATTTTGCGTTGAGACCATACATTCTCGAAAATAGTGATAACTCTTCATTGAAATCTACACGGAACAACATTTTGGCATAATCACAAACCCATTTCCAGCGCCCTAAGACGAGTTCGTAACTTTGCCTTTTGTTGATTACAGGAAACGACAGGTGCAGTGAGATGGGCTGGGAGTCCGCCCTCAGTGGACCAGGATGGGCAAACTGCTCATTGGGAAGATACATAAGTGGAGTGTGGAGGGAAAATGATGCTGTCATTTCTTTACCTGATGGCATCGATAATATTAAAAAGGGGCAGTGCTGTAGCCCTCCACACGAATACAAAGATGATACTCCTGTTTGCCAAACACTGGATTGGAAAACTTCATTAAGCAGGTCAGTTAGAAGTCTTACCAAGCGATTTGCAGTGAGCAAACCTTTTTCTTTTTGCGCTTTTACACTAGCTATAAGGAACGTTAAGAGATCACAGGGCCTTCAACTGGCTCTCTGTTCTTTTTAATTTGTTAAAGAACGTTACACGATTATCTTCAACCAATAGCAGAATTAAGTAAACAATAACAAACTTATAAGTCTTTTGTAAGGAACGTCAAGAGGCAGACTACCAAACCTTCAACTGGCTCTCTATTCTTTCAGATTGGCTAGAGAACGCTAGCTGCGCGTGTTTTCTTGTTTGACAAATGTCTGCAGAGCTAAGAAAAGGCAAAGCTAGACAAACTCTCTCTTCTTTTTCGCTATCTGCTTTTGCGCTGTTTCACAGGATGATAGCATAGAATAGAAGCGGACAACGCATCATTTAAAAAAATATATATCAGTCTAGCTATTCCTCTGTCAGAATCATTCATGTTTATTTTGAGTTTATTTTAACTTTTTTGGTCTTTCCCTTACCGCTATTCTGGGTTGCTTTTCCGGGATTTCGCTTCAATTATGGGATTTCGCTCTTTGAAACGTGGATGACGTAACGTTGACATCAAGTGTTTGCCTCCTAACAATGTGGTTAGCATTTGATTACGGTCCAGTTTCGGTTCTCGCATTGCTTAGAGGTTCTTCAGCTGAAAAATCAACATTTTCAAATTCCAATTCGACCAGGATAGAGGACACGCTTTATTCTGATCTCACAGTGCCTCTCCCCACCCAGGTGTATAAATGGGTAGCAGCGAGCTTAACGCACTGGGTAACCCTGAGATGGATTAGCATCCCATCCAAGGTGGGGGAGGGGGGTAGTAGAAATAGTCCTAATCGCTCCATGCTACAGAAACCGGAATAAGCTCCGGCCTGATGGGCCACTTGCAGGCTCGTATGCAGACTTAACCTACCTACCTAACTACTTGAAAACGATGATTCAAATAGATAATCTCGTATCATTATTTTATAATTCAGAAACAACAGATGGGCTTCCTGTCCTGGCGGGTATTTTCTCCAAGGAATTTATCGCTCAAACGAGACTTGGCTTCACAACATCGAAAAAGCATTGTGCTGCAGACCCAGAAACTTCAAAAACATGACCAAGGATTGCTACGATGAAAATGTAAGGAAATCACTAAATAAGAAAGGCTGGAGTAAGTGTCGAGACTGGCACTATATGATGGGCGTGTACAAAGGAGACTGTGACAA